CAAGAAAAATTTAAGTCAGAGATAGCTGACATGCTGATGTGATTTCCGGTGATGATGGCTCGCGCAGTAGGCGTGATTGATCAATGATTTTTAAAGTGGCTAATTTATTGAAGTCTTTTAAATATATATACAAATTTTCCTGTATTATCGCTAATATCACCAACTACGACCTTCTTAATAACCTTTTGACCAAAAATTGTATCAATATCAGGGTCATCTATCCTTATACATTTCTTTTTACTATGCTCTTCTAAAATAATTTATAATTCGGTGCTAGCCATCCACGTCTATTTTCTCAATTATTAAAGACAGGAGAGCATTGACTCCTAGACCTAGGGGTAAAATAGGGTTTAGAGAATTTTTAAAAATATTTGAGTATTTTAAAGAATGTAAAATAAGGCCTATTAGAGACCTATTTTCAATTAATGCATTTGTGACACATGTACGAGTAAGTGAGAAGGGAATTTTGTTGACATTTAATGAATCCAAGATTGGTCTTGAAAATGAGTGATGTAAGATTACGATCCCTCTCAAAAAATGTTCCGAAAGAAGAAATTAGGAGAAACAGTTGAGGAAGGTACAGGGATTAATGATAGTGTGAAAATGGTTAGTGATGACACTTGTGATATAAAAACCCGACTAATATTTAGTCTATTAGGAATTGGTAGTAGCGGTACATGAAGTGTATCTTGTACGATCTTATCTAAATGAGTAAATTAAAACTGTCAAGGTGATAGGGAAAGTATTCCACGAGGAGGTAAAGGTTTACATTTAATTAATTTTTGTTTAACTATTTGAAGACCACTTTTCTGCGTTTTTCTTCGAATTTTATCAGCATCATAAAACTTTAGATGTTATTATTCTGTAGTCTGTAACTTCATCCAATATTTTATTCGTGTTATTAACAAATTTAAATTGAACCATATTTTTATATGAATAGGATATTTACAGTTGCCGTCTAATTCATCTAGAAAAAATAAACCTTTGATCAAATCAAAAACAGTCCTATTTTTGGTTGAGTTAATAGCCTTTTACGAAACCCTTATGAAGTGGTTGTTTTATACTTTTATTTAAGTTTGTATATTTATGAGAAATATTAATTAAATTGAGAATATATAAAATAAATTTTTAATATAAAAAGATAATTTTTCATATATTATTTTACAGTTGCGAATTCGTAATGGAGTACATTGATAGGTGGAGACCTACACCGTCACCTCCAACACCAACCTCACTTTAAACTACCCGAGCACCATGCTCGGTTCTATGCGGCCGAAATAATCTAAGCACTCCACTTTCTACATAGTAAAGTTAACATTTTTATAGTAAAACTATTTACCTATTTTAAGAAAATTTTTTGTTAATTATATTAAAAATTAATATTGTGTCATCTAACAAAATATACTTCTATGTAGTGATGCCCATGTCAAACCTATGGACTATGATTCATACACAGATAATTTTTCATAGCACAAATAATTTATAATTGTAAAAGAAGCATAAAACACTGAAACGTTTAAATAGGAAAATTAAAGGTATCAAAATTGTGTCCAAATAAATTGAGATGGCTTTAGAGGTTATGATGTGTAATTAATCTCTGAAAGAAGAAGTTTTCAAGGGAGCTATTCCCTTATATAACATAAATCCTTATAATTGAATCGTTTATTTTAATCTTCGAATTTGGAGGTTTAACAACATTGCTTAAGGAAAAGAGTCTATAAAATAGAGAATGTTTACCGATTTCAAGTCTCCAATTGCAATTTTAAATCTTAATAGAATTAAACAAAAAAATTAATATTATTGATCTTAAAAATGGGTAATTAATTTTAATAAAATTGTTAACATCTACTGTGAAGATGGTGGAGTGCTAAGGTTAATTCCTTCTCATAGAACCGAGCATGGTCCTCGGGTAATTTGTGGTGAGGTTGGTTTTGGAGGTGACGATGGAGGTCTTAACCGTCAACGTACTCCATGATGAAAGCGTAACTGTAAATTAATAGATAAATTATTATCTTTTTACTATTAAATATTTTTTTATATTCTCAATTTAATAAATCTTTTTCATACATATATAATCTTATTTAAAAGTATAAAACACCTGCTCCATCTAGGCTAGTTTGTTAACTCAACCAGGAATGGGAGTTTTTTTTTGATCTGGTGGAAAGTATGTTTCTCCCGATGAATTAGACGACGACTGTAGATATCCTATTTATAAGAAATATAGTCAATTTAATAATAATATGATTATAAGGTAGATGTAGGTTAGTGACTAGAAATCCTAAATAATATATGGTTATCAGATATTAATAAAATATTAAAGAAAAAGGATGAAAAGACAATGGGCAATTTTAAAATATTGTTAAACAAACCAATATTAAATGGCTAAACATAAACCTCTACGTTATTTACGAAATTGCTTCCTGATTGACTGGGGACGGCGTACATCAAAATTCCGATCTTGATAATCAATAAATTAAAATTTATTGAAAATTGATGCTAAAATCAATAATAAAATGTCAATCACGAAGATAATTTTAAAGTAACCAATCCTAAGGCAAGAAGAATTTCATTTTCAATTTTTAGTTAATTTTTAAAATATCATTATAATATAGTATATTAATTATCATGCTATATTTAAAGAATTGTTATATTACACATATTTATCAAAGTAAAAAAATATACAAATAAACTTAATATTAATAGTCAGTACCTTGCTTTCGGTAATGTCTATGTATAAAGTGAGTTATTTGGAACGGACCTTCTTAAATTAACTAGACTAACTTTACAATGAATATTGTAAACTATTATTCTTATATACTATTTATTTTTATGTTTAGGTTGTCGTTCCGATCTACAGTTTAAAAATTGGACAAGGATTTTCCTCCATGCCCAAAATTGTATAAACATGACTATAACCATTGATAGTTATCCAATTTACATAGCCTCTATGGGGGGTTTAAAATGAATCTACAATTATTTGTCAAACGGTGGTTATAAGGCAATGAGGACCTATATTTTTATATTATCACCTCCTCACTAGATAATCTCGTGAAATAGCCAGCAAGAGAGTCGATTGAATCAGGTCATCGTTTACGATTCAATTTGCAGTCTTACAAATAAATAAACACGGCTATTATTCCTTAATTCGGTGACTTATGCCACACAGCTGGGAATTTCAACAGTACCCGTTGAATTTTATGAAAATCCAACATATGTTAATAGAACTGCCAATAAAATATTAAAGGAAAAACGAGGTCAAAGTCAAGGTAATATACCCCGCGCTAGCAAGGTTATAGGGAGCTACACACCTCGCAATATACGTGACTGTTGAGAGTTCTGTGTCAAGATAGTCCTATCGAATAGATTCCCTTTTATAAAATAAAAGTCTATAAATCATTATGTATAACGTCTACACGGAAATTTTTTTATTCAAATTTTATACGAAAATTATGATTTGGTCCGCTTATATTCCGTTTAAATTTTAAATTATACATGTTACTCATTATATCAAATTAATAAAAATCTTTGGGAAACTAACTCATTTTCATGTCAGTAATTCTAACTTTTCTAAGTCCAAAATATTTTTTTTTAAAAGTCACCCCGATTCTTCCAAGAGCGGAGAGTGGAAGAGAAAAAAAATTAACGTCAACATGATCATTCCTAATACTCCTTCCACCGTAGTTTATGATTTTCTTAGTAAGGAAACATCCCTTCTCTCCACCCCCTGCCCCCAGGGAAATGATTAATATCTAGATAACTAATAACTTTAAATATTTTTTAAATAATGGCTAAAAATTCAAAAATTTTGAGTAAAAAAAAAGCATATTTTAGTCTGAAAAAAAAGTGTAAAAGACTAAATTATTTTTTTCCATAATAAACCAATATTCTTATGATTAACATTTACAGTTATGCCATAATTAAGTGTTTGCATATGTTTTATATTCCAGTGGCCGTAATTAGATCTCTCAAAAGAACTGGGAAGATTCATTTTCAAATTTAAAAGAAAAACTGACAATTCTTCCTAAGCAGGTTAAAATTTATTATTAGAGGTTAACTAGATCCTATGGATTAAAACAAAAAAAGATACTTAGTTTCAATCCATAAAAAAACAGCAAAAAACAAAAAAAACACAAAACAAACTAGTTAGAATAATGATTTAAAACTAAATTTCTTAAAAAATATCAGTTATTTTTTTAAAAGTATAATTTAACATTACAAGAAAATTGTAAAATTATTTGTAACAATAAATGAAATTTTTTTTATAAAATATTCATGTAAGAATATATTTAAGATGATTATAATAATAGAATATATTAGGAATAATATATAATAACAGATTTTTTCTTAAAGAATTGTAGTTGCCAATAAGTGTTTTTGCGGAATAACGATTTGGTTTTACCCCTTAATAACCTTCTCTATTATTTTTTAGTCATTTAAAATACATTTGAAACAAAGAATGTGTGCCCATACCATCTAAGTCTGTTCACCATTAACTTAGTCATAAAAGGCACTACCTTTTAACTTCCTAGGATATCGGAAATAATTCTAGCTCAATTATTTAAAATATTTGATTCTTTTAAATTAAATATATTTTAGAAGATAAAAATATATATATTGATTCAATATCGATATTTAATTTTAAACGCAAAATTTTATTTTATTAAATAGCTGCTCTAAAATTGGAATTAAACTCTCAAAAAACTGCAGTTAATTTTATCCTTATTGGTCAGGTTTCTTGAGATATCTTTCAACTGACCCCAGATATTTTAATCGAGCTTGGGTCAGGACTAATAGCTGGGCGATTCTAAAGGATTCGCATCGTATGTTTTGAAATAATCGATCCAAAATTTAACGAATCAAGAACTAGTGTTGTTAAACGGGCCATTTTTAGCTAAAAACGGCCAACTCAATATTTTATTAGGAAAAATAATATGCAAGCCTTAAGATTTTAGGTGACGCAAAGGTTTGAACAGCTGTTAGCCAAATCTCGAGGCATGGACAAATATTTTTTTTGGCTAAAATATTGAGTTAGCCGGTTTTTAAAAACCGGCTCAAATCGAACCCGTTAACAACACTATCAAGAACCAATGCAAGGTCAAGTTAAAGACAAAATTTAAGTTGAATAAAAATGTTTGAAAGTTTTAGAATAAAATATATAAAATTAATTGTTTTTTAAGGTTTTTCTCTAATTTTGAAAATTAAGAATTTATAAATTTATAATATCATTTTTAAATATACAATTAGATCTCGACCTGTAAAATATCATTTGATCTTGAGCTACATTCAAAAAAGGAAAAGCGGAATTGGTGATAACGAAACGATATCAATTAATTATTGATTAGTGCGAGGAGTTGTTTAGTTTATGGCGGCGAAACATGGGCAATGAAAGCGACTCACGAAGCCAAACTAGAAAGAACAGAGATGAGGAATGATTAGGTAGATGTGTGGGGTATCTCTGAGAGAGAGAAAAACTAGCAAGGAATTGCGAGCAAGATTGGGTATAGAAATGATTGGAGTGGTGATGCGACGAAATAGATTAAGATGGTTTAGGCGTGTGGAACGTACGACAAAAGATGACTGGGTAAAGAGATGCTCTTTGATGGAAGTAGGAGGAACAAGATCTAGAAGAAGACCCAAGATAACATGGACAAATGTGCGGCGGATATGAGAAGCATGAATCTTAGAAATATTGATGATCAGACCGTCAAAAATGGAAAAGAAAAATCAGAGGGAAATCTGGCCTACCTGGGTAAACATGGAAATCGCCATAAAACGGAGAAGATTGATTGGAAAAATGCCAATATCATAAAATTACATTAATTTCAAATGTTTTAACAAAATTAAATTAAGAATAACTAAATAAAAAATAAGAAATAATTCGATGATAAGAAGGTTAAAATATTAAGTTTCAGATATTTTATTCAAGTAATTATTATTAAAGATATTATATGTCAACTTAAAAAATATATATATATTTAAACTATTATTTAAATATAACCTGATTGAATCAGAAGAAAATAAACGTGGCAAATGGAGGAATGGGAAAAGGGGGGTGGGGGAAGGTGAAATCTCCACCATAAATCTCCTATTGAGAAAATGATGGCTAGGCTTATTATAGTATATAGAAAATCATATAATAAAGCCATAAACTAGGAGATTCAATGAAGCTGAGGAGATTATAAATTTATACAGAACTTTAAGCAGAGTTGGATATTAGTGAAGGTTCAACCTGAACCGGTTTATAAAGCCCCGGGTTCCAAACAATTTTCAAAAAAAACAAACTGGTTAGCTACATTTGGATCGATTAAACCAACTTTATCCGCCAAAATCGGTTGAGATTCTTTTTTTCGATCGTGGGGTGGCGGTCTCGGTCTAGTTGACCTTCAATAGTACAAAAAAGATTATACACAAATCATCAGGAATTATCTATATTTCACATAATTTTTTTACAATATCTACAAGTAATAGTAAGTAAATTATAATATATCTACATTACTATCAAAATTTATTATTACATAAGAATAAACAGATGAGCTTTGTGTGGAGGTTATAAATGAGCCGTGCAATTATATCGCATTCATTCATTCAAATAAATTAAATAGATTCGCACTTTTTCGCAAATTATTTCGACGATATTCGAGCAAAATTATATAATTCTCATTTAAAAAATTAAAATAATAGAAAATACAATGACATGTATAATAATACCGAGACTAAAAATGCATTCATTAAAAGTGTACATCAAAGAAAACAGCTGGGAACGCCATTTTGGTTACCCATATATCATTATTAAAAAAATTTTAAACGAGAGGCCAATTTATTTCCTATGTCTGACTCAAACTTTTATCAAAGCAAGATAATAAGGAATACAAGTTAACAATTTAATAGCGGTATTTAACATGAGAATAATTTACTATATGGGTTAAAAAAAATGGCGGTTCCAGCTGATTTGCATTCAAACGACGCTTTCCAATGCAATATCATGAATGCATCGCCGGTATAGGTATTATTATTACATGTCATCGAAAAAATACGAGTTTGTTTATACAACTGTCGCGCATATCATTATAAGTCACATATCTGAGTATTTTATAAAGGTTTAATTATTAAAGGGCAAGTTTTTTTTGTTTTACCATTTTATAAATGATCTTTTCAAAATGCGCGGGTGGATAACAAACGAGAAGATCCGAAATAATCTTCCTAAATTTATTCGTGACTATGAGTATGATTTGACTATTGAACCCTGAATAAGATCCATCATCCTGAAGAGATGCCGAAGTTTAGCATTTTTTGTAATAAACAAAAAAAAATAAATGAAGTTTAACAAACGTACATCGCGAAGAAATTGAATTGGACCTTTTTATAATTATTTTTATAATAATATTCGAAGTGTTGAAAAGGCTATAAACATATAACCAAAAAAAAATGGCTAATATCTACCCCGCGAATACTTTTAAAATTCAAATAAAGTCATAAAAATTTTTACTAATAATTTCGGTAGGGTAGGGGTGGGGGGGGGGTAAAAAATATAAAATCCGATTTATGAAAAATATGATTACAACTTTGTACGTATTGATTAGATAAAAAAAAAGAAAAACGGGATTTTTTTTGTTCGGGGTAAAGTGGGGAGGGGTCAATATGGATTTACAAGCTATTTAGAAAGAAAAAATTATATGACTGAGGTGAGAGTAATTATAGCTACGCGCGGTAAAACAATTAATCGAAAATGTCTATTTTTTCGTCACCCGTAAATTCCTAATTAACGATCGGAAAATCAAAAAATGATCTTCGTTCCGATGATCGGGTTCGTCAAAAAAAATTAGATAATTGATCAGACATAGCAACCCTCCTTCCTCTTTCATCCGTATTCCAAATTGGGATCTTTTTTGTTGATGTGGAAGAGGAGGAAAAATGAGAGACTCAGGAGCGATATTCCCAGGAAATCTCCTATGGCGGTGAGGTAGGGGATGGAGGCGTTGTCGGGATCCGTCTTGCGTTTCCACATACTGAGAGTGAGCACGTTGGCTAGGTAGAGTAATATTATAACCTGCCGAAAAAGGATATTATTGAATATCATGAATATAAATAATTGGAGTTTGGAGGGGGAAATTGGTCGAGAGAGAATTTTGTATAAAAAAGTAATGAAGGAAAGGAAGGAAGGAAAAAAATTAACGTATCTCAAAAACCGGGTTCGAAACAAAGGGTGGAGCGATTTCGGTTAGCAATGCGCGGGTTGTTAGCCCGCCGGTCCATTCTCGGTGTGAGCGGAGGTGGGGCGTTAAAAAATCTCAAAGTATTAGAATGAGTGGGCTAGTTGGCTAAAACCAGCCCCAGACCTCTAGTTTCGGTCGCATTTATTCGGTACCGGTTTTGGTTTCGGGTACCAATTTCTCGATTTCGTCTAAGCTATGTTTCGACATTTAAAAAGGATATTTACTTGTAACATGGCGGAAGTCAGGTAGAAGAGAGCGAAAAATGGCGTGATAGTTATGCGTCCATGTTTGATGTAGGATATGAGGAACATAAAAAACACGTGACCCGGAAGGGCAAAGTATAAGAGCAATCTAGCCATCTTGGAATTAAAGTCTTTCGACAAAAAAAAATAAATATATTAAAGTTTACGATAATGTTTGGGGAAAATGAAAATGGCATCCACTGAATTCAGCCATTCTTGGACTATAAATTCTCGTCTTCGCAAAGAGATTTGATAGGTTGAAAAATTATGCATTCCTAGTGGAGCGGTCAAATATTTTATAGTCGGTCTCACTGTACCTCATAACTAACATTTTTTTGATGTATTAATAAGGATATTTAATACGTTTTCTATCGTATGTAAAAAGCAGCTGGTAACCCAATAAGCAAAAAATAATAATGTTTGACTTTTAAAATATCGTACTAACCCCCTGGAGAAATTAGATGAATAAAAATAAAACCTCTGAGGAAAACGTTATTAGAGTCCTGACAGAAATGGGGAATTCTAAGTTTAATGCTGGGTAAATCTAAGAAAAAGAAGCGTGCACGTAATGATGTCTTTATGGAACTCGAAAAATGTTAAGGATCCCTCCAATTTAGGCTAAGATAAAGGAGAATAGGTTGCGATGGTTTGGTCATGTGGAAAGGAGAGAGGTTTGAATAATATATTAGAAAAAAAAAATAGCTAGAGAAGAAGTTGAAGGTAAAACGCGACCAAATAAAAACAAAAATGGAAGGACGCGATTATTTAAGAGTTACGGAGTCTAAACCTATCGGATGAGTTGGTGAATGACGGGAAAGGGTGGCGGACTGAAATTAAGAAGGGGTGGGGGGGGGGAGTGTAAGTAATGATATAAGACAGACTTATTATTTATAAAAAACACCCATTTTGCATTTGCTAATTGAATAAACAATTATTAAGTTATATTTGGTTTTTTTAATTAAAACACGCTGTTTTTTTAAAAAAAAAAAATTTAATATATAAAACTTTCATTTTCAGAGACCTACAGGCCAGGTCCTAAGACCAGATTCAAGGGCCAGGCCGATATAGCTAAATGGGTACACTAAAATATAACATAACCTGTCTATTTATACAAAAATAATACGGTTGCAAAAAAAGATTGATATAAATTTAATATAAGGGAAAATAATTTTAGGTCTTTAAGAAGGATTGAGCATCAAACTTTTTTAGGCACAGGCAAACTTTGATACTATGTTCTAGAGAACAACGTTGGTCCGTTATAACGTAAACGCCCTTTCAAGAGCTAGCTGAGTTAGCTGGAATTGCAAAATAATCTCTAGCAATTTTCGATAATATCAGATATCTATCATTAGAAAAAGTGACTTCAATCTATATATTAGCTTATTTATAACCTATTATTGTTATTATGACTATGTTTAACTTGATATATTTTATCATTAAAAGGGCAATTTTTATAGGATTTATTCTCTGTTTCATTTATATATTCAGCTGAATTGAAATTATTTATTTTATGAATAATATATATCCTTCTATTAGGTATCCAATGAGAGTGTCCATTACTATTATGCTTTGATAGACGACTTGATATTTTAAACCTTGGGGTCAATCATTGTCGATATAATATACAGGTAATCATTTACAAAATACCAATGAAGAAAATCAGTGACTTAGCCTGAAATAATATAGAAATGTAATGGAACCCTTTAATTTCGCTACAGAGATGGTCTCACGTGCAAACACTCCATCAATTTCAAGCAACATTACTTTATATTCCAGAATTTTTAGCATGGTTGAGAGTTACAATAATATTTCTAATACTATTTTAAGGAGGGCTTCTTTAGCTGCCTTAGCAAAAACTTGATGAATACTATATTTTAATAAACCACCTATTTATTATTTCAACAATGATTGACCTCAAGGTTTAAACTATCAAGTCACTTATTAAAGCATAATAGTATAGAAACTCTTATTGGATGTCTAACCAATGAATATAATATTTATAAAATAAATAATTACAATTCAGCCGAACATACAAATGAAACACAAAATAAATCAGGTTAAACCTAGTCATAATAATAATAACTTAGAAATAAGTAAATATGTGGATGAAGCCAAAATTTCTAATGATACAAATATTATCAAAAATTACCAGAGATAATATTGCGATTCCAGCTACCTCAGCTGGCTCTTGAAAGGGCGTTTTCAGAAGGACGGTACGTTATAACGGACCAACGTTGTTCACTAAATGAACATACTATCCAAGCCTGCCTTTGTAATAGAACCACCAAAAGTTCTCTGAGAAGAACCGTTCAACAATTCAAGAGAGACCAAGGCCCATTCTGAAATAGAAAAAGTGCTCAATAAAACAGATATATTTTAGCCCATTAGGATCATTTAAGGCTTTTAACAATGGTCAACAGGAGACTTCTAAATTATATAATAAATTACCATGTAAAAACCAACTACTTAATATAAAAAAAAGATGAGAAAATGCAAATATCTTACAAAACTAAATCATAATGTTGCTAATTAAGAAGTATAATATTATATGAAGAAAAATAATAATCAAGAAACCATTAATAAAAAATAAGAAAATTTCCCAACACTACCCAATCATTAATCCCAAAGACATCTCTATTGATCTGAGTACAGAGAAGGTTAGTGATCTGAGAAAAATGTTCACAGATTATGCGTGACAATAAAAATAAAATTATTTTATTATTCAATAATTATTTTGAATTTAAAGAAAAGTTGTTTGGTGGATGGAAATGATATTTCTGAATAATAATTCCTATCTCCGTTTTAAAAATAATTTAAAAAAAAACGATATTTTTGAGAAATATAAACATGGTATTTATATATAATTAAGTGAGGAGAAACCAGTAAATATACACATCCTTAAATTAAATCTCTTACTCTAAAGTTGAAAAAAAAGTGGAGATAGAATAATCTAATTCTCGGGGACGATATAAAGGTTTTCTTGCTGTATAATAAATATTTAAGTTGAGTATTAAACTAGTTTCCAAGTAGAAAGAACTAAAAAAAATTAAAAACACGGATAAGGAATTTTTAAAATTCTTCTACGGTTAAGGTTGAAAAAAAGTGGTGATAGAATAATCTAATTTTCAGGGACGATATGGAGGTTTTCCTATATAAATATTACGTTACGTATTAAACCAGTTTCCGAATATTGAATGTTCTTACTTTAAAAAAAAAATGTATTTTTTGCCGCCAAAAAAATGTTTGTATCTCAAAAAATAGGGTTGTTAAAAGTGTATTTACGATACCGTGAGCATAGATGCATCTCTGTGCAATAAATATGTATATGATTGGCTCACTGGAAGAAAAAAATGTATTTTTTGCCGCCAAAAAAATGTTTGTATCTTGAAAAATAGGGTTGTTAAAAGTGTGTTTAGGATACAGTGAGCATAGATGCATCTCTGTGCAATAAATATGTATATGATTGGCTCACTGGAAGAAAAAAATGTATTTTTTGCCGCCAAAAAAATGTTTGTATCTCAAAAAATAGGGTTGTTAAAAGTGTGTTTAGGATACAGTGAGCATAGATGCATCTCTGTGCAATAAATATGTATATTGGCTCACTGGAAGAAAAAAAATTATTTTTTGCCGCCAAAAAAATGTTTGTATCTCAAAAAATAGGGTTGTTAAAAGTGTGTTTAGGATACAGTGAGCATAGATGCATCTCTGTGCAATAAATATGTATATGATTGGCTCACTGGAAGAAAAAAATGTATTTTTTGCCGCCAAAAAAATGTTTGTATCTCAAAAAATAGGGTTGTTAAAAGTGTATTTACGATACCGTGAGCATAGATGCATCTCTGTGCAATAAATATGTATATGATTGGCTCACTGGAAGAAAAAAATGTATTTTTGAAAATAGGGTTGTTAAAAGTGTGTTTACGATACCGTGAGCATAGATGCATCTCTGTGCAATAAATATGTATATGATTGGCTCACTGGAAGAAAAAAATGTCTTGTAAAAGTTGAAGGTGGCCGGGACGGAATAATTCAAGGCGCGCGATTCTTTATTCGTATCATCGTCGGTGGTTGTATTTGCGGCGGTTATAGCGGAACCGTTGTTGGAGGTTATAACTTGCCCGAGAGGCTTAGAGTTATATAGCTGAAGAGGAGGGGGGTTGAGAGTCCCGGGAGGACCGAGCTTGTGGAAGTCGGTGGAAAGACGGCTGGCTTGGATGGCTACTAGATTACCCCCGACCCCGTTAATGACTGGTTGGTAAACGGCTATCCCGTTGAAGTGCTTAACGGTATAGTCCAGAATGAGACCTCCAAATCTACAACAATTTCATTTTAAATTTCTTCTTTTTAATTTCATAATATTATTTGTATTTATTTTTTTTTTATTTATTCTTCCTTCCTTTCTTTCTCTCTTTCTATCATCGCGCTTTTTCTTCAATCCTTATTGGACAAATAAAACTATCACGTGACTTATCGCAAACTGTATATCGAGGGGAAAAAAATTTTGTAGCTATTGGACTCAAGCTACACGTAACCAGTGACGATAAATACTAACGATAAGATAAAAATTATATTATCTTCACTAACATATATCAGGCTTCTATTTGAAATATTAAATAATTTTTCAGGTAAACGGTTCATCTTTTATCGAAGAAAAACAGCTGGGGACGCCATTTTAATTGCCCATATCATTATTAAAAAAAATATTTAAACGAGAAGCTAATCTATTTCCTATGTCTGACGCGAACTTTGTTAAAGAAATTGCCTGATCATCGAGATAATAAGGAAGCAAGTTATCGATTTAATAGTAGTTTTTAAGCGGGTTACCAAAATGGCGACTCCAGCTGATTTGCATTCAACGACGCTTTCAAGTACATTATTACGAATGAATCGTCAGTCTAGGTATTATTATATGTCATTGGTTATGCCCATACATAATTATTACTATCAACAGAGGTATTATTACTAAATAGCAGCCCTTTAAAATGTGTGTGTATATATATATTAAGTTTATTTGCATTAACTTTAGTGCCGTGCCGATATAAAATATCGGGCCAATATTTAGCTTGAAAGTATCGAATCCAGCCGATATTTTCAATAAAAATGATCCGAAACTTTGTATGTTTTTTTAGATATTTTATGACTTGTGTATATAATTATAAAAAAAAAATTTCATCCGTAATTTCAAAAAAAAAAAATAAAATAATATTTCTAAACTTGACTTAGCAGTTCTAAAAATAGAATAAAATTCGCGAAAGTCAGCTGGTGTTGTTAAAGTATCTAGAAAATATTTTTAAAAAAATATGGTAACTGTATCTAGAGAAACAATTTTATAAAAAGTATCTGTAACTAGAATCCATTTTAAAAACTCCGGTTTATTTATTCGAAATAGAAAATATTGATTTTTTTCCCTTTAATGAAATCGGTTCAAGGAGATATGGTAAATAAATATCTACCTAAATATCGGATCGGTTTTGTAGTGATATCGAAAAAAAAATAGGATTGGATAGGCATCGGCTAAAAATTTAAGAATCAGCACGGCCCTAATTTAACTTATATGCATATTATTTATTTTTTAAGAGGACCCATTAGACCCCATGACATAATAATAGCTTGACTGACAATTTATTCATTTTAAATGTGTATTAATAATTTAAAAAATCAGCTGGTGGCAACGTACATCTTTGGTTTCCCGACATTTACCATAAAAATTTTCTGAAAAACTACCTCTTTTTTTTCTTCGCAACAGCTGATTTATATTCGATGACACTTTCAAAAATTACAGTTCGCACGAATCGTCTGCCGGGCAGGTATTATAAGTCATAGATTATAAATCTTACCCTGCCCCCTAATTCGACATAAAACCTCCTGAGGGGTCAAAAAATTAAAATGGATATTGGCTCTGTATGTTGAACCTAAGTCAACTTACCCCACCCCATCCCCTCTTGTAAGAGCATCCAGATGATGTTGATTACAGCCCTTGATTTGAATATTGTTTACAAGATCAATCATTTGTTTATTTTTTTTAATATAAATAATAGTAATCACGTGCTAATGGACATGGAGATGATGATTGGAATCCACCCAGTCGTTAATACGGCTTTGACGAAAACATTTTTCTTGCAAACGCAGTACCAAAGAGGGATGGAGAGAACGTAGATCAAAATGATTGGCATACAGATCCAGGGGTATGTGGCTTTATTTATTTTTGTAAATAATACGATTTATTTTTTTTTTAAAAAAAAGACAAAAAGAAATGAATGAAATAAAAAAATTTAAATAAAAGAAAATTAAAATAAAGTAAGGAAATAAATATTGGAATTTTCCATTTATTAACGATTTTAATTTTTAAAAAAACTATTTCCCCTATAGCGTTATATTTTCTTCCTATTTTTGTGAAGCACGGTATTTAACAAAAATATTTATAACCTTTAGTTCCCCGAGTCATGTACATTAAAAAAAAATTTGTTTTCAAAATAATCGATATATATTTTTAGATCTCCCGTTTAATATAAGAATGTTCTATCAATTACAAGGCAAACATTTCCGTTCATTTGCTTTTCTTCGTTTGAATTTTAAAATTCTTAATTAATTTCTTAATTAATCCGAATCATGGGTTAGGGGGGGAGGAAGGTTTACGTTATTTTATAAACCCGATTAGAAAAATCCGAAAAATGCCAAAAGAGAGATTTGTAATCTATCACTCATTTGACGATGATCGCAAAATTTAAATTAGGTATTTATCGATTTTTAGTCGTCTAAGTTAGTAGAAAATTTTTCAAAAATACGACATCAGAGAACTCGCTACAAGTCGCACTATTCTTAAACCGGTACCGGATTTTTTAACCGACCAACAGTCGACTTTTAAATTCCCCCATCAACCGCATGGAGAAGTCGAGCGTTGGATCTTTAAATACATTCGTTCGTATTTATCGATTTTAAGTCGTCTAAGTTAGTAGAAAATTTTCCAAAAATACGATATCAGAGAACTCGCTACAAGTCGCACTGTTCTTAAACCGGTACCGGATTTTTTAACCGACCAACAGTCGACTTTTAAATTCCCCCATCAACCGCATGGAGAAGTCGAGCTTTGGGTCTTTAATAACACATTCATTCGTATTTTTCGAATTTCCTTCTCTCTTTTTTTTTTTGATTTTGAAGACACCATTAACAAAAAATAAACAAACCAACCTGAATAATCAAATTTGGGGTCGGGCCTTATAAAAGGTCAGGCACGTTTCCATAACGGACCTATAAAGGTTCAGCCATGTTACCGCTAATACTACAATAATCTTCTCCCTTAAAAATCAGGGTGTCCGTCTTCCATCCCCGTTATAAATATACAATGTAACTATGTATAACCCATATGTTTGAAAAGGAATCTCGAGGTGACCGCCAAAATGCCTAAAGCGACCAAATCGCCCAAACTGGCCGCCATGGGGGTAGCTATGTTGTCCGGGTTCAGGTTGTACATTCGCGTGATGTAGACGACGGCTATCATCATGATACCTAAAACCGAACCATAAAAAAAAACATTAAAAATATATGAATTGAAATTATAACACATAATTCAATGACACATACATAATAATACCCTAGAGTGCCGATGCATTCATCAAAAGTGTAAGTCAATGAAAAACAGCTGGGGACGCCATTTTGGTAACGAGAGGCCTATTTATTTCCTATGTCTGACGCAAACTTTATTAAAGAATTGCCTGATCATCGAGATAATAAAGGAAGCAAGTTATCGATTTAAATAGTTGTTTTTAACGTGACAATAATTTCTATATGGGTTATCAAAATGGCGGGTCCAGCTGATGCATCGTCAGTCTACCTATTATTATATGTGATTGACGTAATGGAAATGAGGCTCTAATGAGGAAGTCGTATAATATATACATTTATTATTTTTCTAAATTTGGGAGCTCATATCTATCGAAAGTCTAAAAATAGTTACGCATTAACTATCAATTATTTGTATCGGCCAATACTTCCAATTTTAAGCGATACAAGTGACCTTTACCTAAGAAATAATAAATAACCATTATTTTTTTAAAAAAATTGGCTTACAGTGTGGCTTAAATTAATATTCAAATTTTTTTTAGCGGAAATGGAAAATTGGGATTTAAGGAAACCTTTTGAAAATGTTTTCGGCCATTTTTTTTTAAATTTTATTGTTTTTTTCGATATTTAGTTTTGTTTACCGACTAAATTTTTTTAAATTCAGTTTATATTTCATTTTTTAAAAAAAATTGTTTTTTCTTTATTATCGATAAAAAATGGCGCTAGGTTCCATTTCCGGTCTGTACGGAATTAATGGCAAAACCGGTCTAAAACTCTCGTGTCACACCAAAAGCTCGATTAAAATTATTTGTCGGACCCGGTTTTGGGTAAGGCGAAGTATCGCGAATCAATATATTTCTCTTTCAACTTTAAAATGAAACGTAACGTAGTTTAAACTAAAAAAGTAAGTTTTTATGGCGGGAAAAAAAACTAAATTAAAAATTGCTTTTTTTAAATTTATTATTATTTTTAAAATTAATTTTCTTCCAAATTTGATCTATTATCAAAATCGATAAAAAAAAATGTTTAAACATTTTATTTATATAAACATTTTTATTAAGAAAACAGGTTTTTTTTTGGAATTTATAAAATATTTTAAAATAATAGAAAACAATAATATTGATTATTCGAATCAAAGGTTTGAGAAAGAGAAGATACTTTAGATCAAAGGTTTGAGAGAGAAAAGATACTTTAAATCAAAGGTTTGGGAAAGAAAAGATACTTTAAATCAAAGGTTTGGGAAAGAAAAGATACTTTAAATCAAAGGTTTGGGAAAGAAAAGATACTTTAAATCAAAGAATGGGGAAAGAAAAGATACAAACAGAACCGAAACCGGAAAACCCGGGTATGAACCGATTGAAAAAAATAAAATTCGGCCGAGAATCGACTAATAGTTGTCGTTCGATCATTGGGTATTATATTATGCTCTAATTCATAAATTTTTTTATACCGGAAATAAAATTTAAAAAAATGGAGTTTATCCGTGATAGAAAAATTTTCATCGAGCCGGCACTTGGCAGATTTTAAATTTATAAATATAAAACAATTATTGAAATGGGCTTGAAATAAATATTATTAGAAGTTAAAAAAAGTTTAAATAATAGCCCAGATGGTTTGGCCTGGTTCGAGGTCGGAGGGGCGAAACCGATTTTGACATATGAACTTCAAATTTTTAAACATTTATTTTTCTTAAATAAGCGATCTATCTATATTTCATTTTTTTTACCTAGGGAAATTAAATATTATGTTGCGACTACTCTTCAAAACATTATTCATCCATTTTTTTTTGGAAGATATCCACCTCAATATAATCTTTAGGATCGGGCCGATATCAGCTGATATCAGAATCGGGGCCGATCGACGATGCATTCATTAAAAGTGTAAAATCAATGAAAACAGCTGAGCACGCCATTTTGATTACTAATATATCTTTATTTTTAAAAAAATTTAAACGAGAGGCCAATTTATATTGCCCGATCATCGAGATTAATAAGGGGAGCAAGTTAATTTAATAGTAGTTTTTTAACAATAATTATCATCTGGGTTACCAAAATGGCTGGTCCAGCTGATCCGAAATAACCTTACTTACCCCCTTCCAATTTCGATAAAAATTTGTGCACGTTATACGTGTTCTACGTGATATCAAAAACGACATTTTAGCGCTTTAGCTACTTTATTGCCCGAGGATTCAGTTTTACATCTTACTGATATGTTAAATAATTGGTTATAAATTTTAAAACAATTAGTTATATATATATTAAATAATTGAAGGAGAGCTCATAATATGTTGGAAATATATTTTAAATTTTCAAAGATATAAGATGACCAATATTTTTAAATCAATTTTTTTCATGATTCCTCCAATCATAAATATCAATTTATTGTCTTAGCTATTAATATTGGATTGAATATTTGAACTAATAAAATTTTTAATTTTAAAACTAAAAATTTTTGAACACAATTATACTTGTGTTTTAAGGTACATTTTCATTATTAAATTAAGCTCTTTTTAGAGCCTTCGATACTATCAATATATTTTTTTATCTCAGTAATTTTATATATTTTTACATATTTTTATATAGTTGTGTTTTAATATTTTAGTGTTTTATCATTTTTTTTTTATAATAAATTGTACCAATATCAATATTATCAAAAATAAAATTTTATTTGATAAAAGTATAAAAGGTTTTTAAAAAAAAAAATACAATTTTTGTTCCTTTTCATCCTCATTATTTCAGGTAATAATATAATTTGATATTTGTTGATAAGCTAAATTTCGTTTTTGATATAACTAGAATATATATCAGATGCCCGCGAGTACACGGGTCTGAGCCTTAGTTCTAACGGTTTAACTCATATCCCAGGCCAGGCCTGAAATATATACAGGGCCATATATTTTAAAAAAAATATTCTGAAATCGCCATTATTAGCTTATAAAAATCAAAAATAAATATAATATATTTTTTTTAAAATCAGGGCCTGAGCCTGAAAATATAAAACCTGAGCCAGGCCATGCCAAAAAAAAAATTCTGAAAAATAATGGTAACTCTACAGCAGGTCTTGCAAATTTTTATCGAAATTTAAGGTGATCAGCCAAAAATTTGATTTTCTAACTCAGAATAGAATAGTTATGTGATTTTTTTTTAGCATATAAAATATGTTGGTAATGGGAATTTATCTAAATATCAGAAAGGGTTTGTTTGAATGTCGGAAAATATGGGAGAAGGTTGGTAAAATATTTATGGATCAGGGAATCCCTAGAATTTTGCACCCTGTATAAAATAACTAGTCCTAAATTAAATAATGCAAAGATTTTACCCAACATAGCGCTAGCTAGGGATGTAGTGATGAGGCAGGCGGCAACCAGTATCTGGGCGTGATGAAGATTAATTGTTCCACCATCAGGTATAAATCCAATAACCAAGGCCAAGAGAGCAGCAAACAGGCCAAGACTAATGGATTGTACTTGGAGGAGAGAAAGGTTACCCTGTGTCATAGATAGGTACTGTCTAGCTGAGTCAACACGTCCAAGATTAGCTTGGGTGGAGATACGGGAAGCGAGTGTCATCTCGACGTTACCCTTTAGGCCAAGGAGAGCAGGCATGAGGATAAATAATTCGGTAATAGCCTCAAATACAGGCCAGTGTTGAACATGGTCAAGGACAACGCCAGCAGCCACCATACCCAGTCCTGCCACCAGATATGGGAGGGCTATTTGATAAGCCACACGTCTTGTTGTCTCTTCCTGAGGAGTAGGGCGACCCTTCGCACTTCCATTAGCCTGAGGGGGGTTCTTTGTGTAATTACTATTGTGGATAGGTGATGGAATGGGAGATGCTGTATCATAGCCAAGGTTAGGTGGAAAGGTAGAAAATGAGTTCTCCCCATTTTTTATAATACCTTTGGGAAAATTGTTAGAATTATTTTTAGATATAGGTATATCACTTCTGTCATAAGAAGGATTGTCAGATTCCGATTGATGGGCTGTCCCATTGGGTGTTTGCGAGGAAAGAGGTAGAACTATATCAATATCAAACCCCTGGTTGTCTTTTTCCCTATCCTTAAGAGGCAAGTCTCGTCTGTTATTCTTGAGAATAGGAGGGGATGGTATGGTCGCATGACTCATATCTTTAACCCATGCCTCATTGTCAGCAACATTGGAAGTTAAAGGGATGGCTGAAGTATTTTTTACCAAACTACTGTTTTTAAAAGCTGAGATAATTCTCTTCATAATTTATTCTCAGCTTAATACAATCACATTGAGAACAGAGTAATGATATTAATTTATTTTCTGCAAAAAGGAATGTTAAAAGAACTTTACGTGCTAGATAGATGCCGTTGGTTCATTCATTGTTAATATTTTCCAAAAAAATGATATAGTAAATAATAAGTGGTAGAAATTAGGATCTAATAGTGACTAATATTTTTGTTTTACCTTTCTGGATAGAGAAAAATGTAAATGAGGTTGATCGCCAGAATATTCAATCTTTTGCTTATTATATAATTTGAATAGGTTAATGATTTGAAGACAACTATATTGGAAGAATTGTTGAAATGATTGAGGTAAGCATATATATCTGCCAGAACTATTCAAATTAAAATAATACTCTAAAATAAAATTAATATATAACAATAATAAAAAATTTAAGGTAATAATTATCTGAATTATTCTATAGAAATAAAAATTTTTGCAAATTAATGCATTAATTATATTTAAAATTTCGATATTATTGTTGGATGCTGAACAAAATTTTTTTTTATACTACATAAATGGCTAATTATGAGAAGGTAACAAACATTATTTTGGCTAATAATTATTCTAAAAAATACCACTTAAAAATAAACTTTTAAATTTTTGGAAACTTAAACTTAATTAAAAAATTATTCTTTCTTTCTTAAAGTATATTGGCATAAAATATCATATTAATTTGCATAAAGTAAATAATATTATCTTTCATAAACTATAATAATTGATATTTAGTTTTATATATTTTACCTGATTTATAATATTTATAAATAAATGTTTTTAATGATATTTGGTAGGATGAGATCTTTAAAGGGATGTCTGAAATCCGAAAATTAATGCTTTATCACTTGGCTGAGATATAAAAATAGTTGTGTCTAAAATCCTGAAAATGGCAAATAAAATATCATATTCAAATCATGTGTCTTATCATTTCTTTAAAAATCATGAAATTTATTCCATATAAATTTACTTAATTAAAAGTATATGATTTATATATTACTGCTGATAAACAGATCTCCGATGAAACCCAATTCTAAAATTATGAGGAAACAAAAAGTTGATAACCTAATTTTTATGAAAGATTTCCACCCAAAGCCCTCATAGTTAATTAATTATATTGACATAAGATTTTTAATAAAGGTCAACAATGTGCTGACCAATTTTTTATAAACCACTTATTTTGTTTAATAATTATAATAATAAATTTGGTCTATAATTAGTATATCCTACTCCTAGGATGCACCTAAGTTAGTCAAAAATTTTATTTACAATTTATTTATATTATAAAATTTATTAATTATTTGTTAAGAATCTCGCCACGATCCTAATGTGTGATAGAAGTCGGTTGTGGCAATGATATATATATCATTGGGTTGTGTTTATTATCCTTTATTTACCATTTTTATTTAAGAAAACGACATCTATTATTATATAGACATAAGCATTGACAGAAATGTGGAAGATCCCCCTCTTTAAAAATTTATCTGTTAGAGTAAAGATATTTTTAAGTTAATAAAACATTTTCCCATACATACACCCCACCCCCTTTTCACTAAAGTAATATGCAAAATATAACTATGAACAAAAATTTGGAAGAAAAATTAAAAAGAGTTAAAAATTAATCATTTTTAAAATACGCTATAATTTATTTTTAGAACAAAAGCTATTTTTATATAAAAAAAGTAAAATATCAAAATTATATTCATAAAATCTATTATAGTTTAAGGTATAAAATAAATGTAACTAAAGATTTTCAATATAATTTAAAAGAAAAACGCAGCTAGAAGCCCTTCCCCCAAATTTTGGATAACCAAGAGTGGAAGGGGGGAAATCTCTCCACCCACCCCCCCCCCTCTATAAAATATTTGTCTATTTGTGTGAACATCATTTTGCTAATAAAAATTTACATCATGCTCACACTTCCCCTCCCCCCTCCCTCCACACCTTTTTCCCTAAAAAGAAGGTAAAAATTAATAAATTTTTTAAATGACTACGAAAATTCAAACTTTTAAGGAAATAAGCATTTTAATAGAAATAAAATACCTAAATTTATTTTTATAAAAATTTAATATACACAAATGTAGTGCATCAAATGAAATATCAGTTTATTTATTTTTGTGAATACAAATAATAATTACTTGCTTTGTACCAATATCAATAATTCGATATTTGATATATAAAAGTGAATACAATAATGAATTATTATTCTATAAGTATTTTTGTAGGTCTAATTAAAATATTAATGGACATCAGAAAAGATTTTATTAATTTTAGTCTTTTTTTGGACAGTAAACGAATATAAAATTTTGGGCAGCACACTTTTAAAAGATCTATTTTAATTGGAAAATTAATGTTGAGCAGCAGTCCTGGCTATTTTAAAAAAATTTAATATCATATTAAAAATACAAGTTATATTTTTTAAATATTAAAATCATTTAATAAAACGTTTTAAAAAAATATAATTTTAAGAAAAAGATAATTAAGTACATGAACGGGAGGGGGGGGGGGGGGTTAGGAACAGTTTGCACCTTTTATTTTGAAGGGATAGATAGTAGGCGGCTTTAATGGGGGTAGGATAAATTTTTGGGGGTTTAACTATTAAATTTTGAGATCAAATAGGACAAATTTTAATGCTGTAAAAATTAATACTTTTATTATTATAATACAATTCATCAACCAAATATATTGCAAACAATCATAGACATTATTTTCCAAATAAAACCTTCTGCTATTCTTTCAAATGTAATTTAAAAGGTTTAGACATTTTCAGCAAGCTCATAATGCTATAAATTCATTATAAATGATGGCTATTTTAATTGAATATGACTCCTTTATTAACAAAATGTAATAGTTGGTACTTGGTAGTAGTGATAAAATAATTTAAGTTATTCTTTTTAAATTTTCTAAAAGAGTATCATTATTATTAAAAATGTGAAATTAAACATAGGGAAACATCATCACTGAAGGCGGCAAAATTTTTATAGGGGGGTGGACATAGGTTTTTGAAGGGGACATCCAGTGAAAATCCTGTCATGTAGACGCTGATTGAGTTCCTAAAAAAGAACAATACTTAAATTTTAAAATATTGATTTATATGTTCTATCTGAGATATAGAAATTCCCTTGGTTCAGAAGATGCTTGCGATTTGATTTTGCGAGCTAATTTAAAATCTAAATGTTAAAGCAGCGAACTGTCAGATGGTAGACTTAGTGTTGCGTTATTATAATTATATATTTTTGTAATCTAATTTTATTTTTATATTACATTTTATGAATTCAAATTTATCTTTTCAACTTAACTTTTTATTTTTGTAATTCAACTTATATTACTTATTATTTTGCGTAACCTTATTTATATAACTTTCGGTTTAACTTTACTTTTTTTATATTATTTTATTTTTTATATTTGTTTATATTCTAATTTATATTTTATAAAAACGTATAAATAACTTTAAGAAAAGAAAAAGAAATTAGTTAATAAAGTTAATAAAATATGTTTTTTATTTGATAAAGTTATTAAATCTTATTTATCATTCACCGGCACATATTCATGTTATTTTACATGGTGCCTCCAGTGTTGGCATAAGAAACTCGCCTCATGGAAAATTTTTTAAAATTAAAATTTTTTTTTTCTTTTGTAAAAATTGGTTAATAAAAAAATTATAAAATGGTACAAACAATTCTATATAAGATGGATAAAAAAAAAAGGGTAAGTCATTTAAAAATTATTTTCATCAAATATGTTCGCCTTCAAACTAATTAATATACCCCACCAAATCTCTGTCTACGATATTTTATTTGAGTTAACCTATAATACCGATGTCGACTTTTATAGGATAGACGGTACGGAAGACGTGCTGTTTGAATTCATGAACTTAAGAGACATGATTAATTGTTTCGAATTTTTAAATGGGAAACATTATATTTATAATGACAATGATTTCATTGAATTAATCTGTATATTTACCAAAACAACATGAATAGCTATACCAAAAATTTGAATTGATAAAATAATAAATATTATAATTGCTTATATATGTGTCTTATTAATTAAATATGGAAATTAAACAAGAATTTACACATAAGATCCCTAAGTTAGTGGGTCCTCTTACTGAAATTTATTTAGATAGAATATTAAATTACTTTTCGACCAGTACATTATCGGACTCTATTAAAATTAATACTTTGCTTAATAATTTATCAGATGAAGTTTTTGACGACATTAAGGCAATTTGTTCTGATACCGATATTTTAGATCTTAAAATTGTGATTAAAAAGTTAACCTATCTTTTACCAGCGCTAAATTTAAATACTTTAATTAATAAGTTTAATCTTCTTCAACAAAACTCATCAGAAAGTTTTATGTTATGGTACATTAGAGTATCGAAACTTCATAAGAAATGTAATTTTTTGGACGATAGTAGATTAAAAGAGAAATTACGGACATCTACTTTAAACGATAAAATTAAATACAAATTTTCCAAAAATTTTGACCTGACATTGGACATTGAATCAGATGGTGGAATTAGGGGTGAAACTGGACTCTAGTAATATTAAGTCTGAGGATAATGATATAAGTTATATGAATAATGATAAAAAATCCGATAAAGATAAAAATTTTTGCAGTAGAAATGATAATAATTTTCGAAATAATTTTAGAAATAATTATGATAATAGATATAGAAATGGGAATTACAATAATAATTTTAGATACAATTATGGTAATAATAATTCGCGATACCACGATAATTATAACAATTATAACTATAACAATTATCGCTATAATAATAATAATAATCAATCGAATTTTGGTAGAAATAATACATGGTATGATTATAATCAAAGAAAACAAATTCAATACGGTGACGTAAATCGTAATAATTACCAATCTTATTACAACAACTCAGATAATTATAGAGGTAATGATAAGTATCAGAGAAAGCAAATACAATATAACAACAACTCAAATAATTATAGAGGTAATGATAATATTCAGAGAAAGCAAATACAATATAATAACAACTCAAATAATAATTATAGAAATGGCGACGAAAATAATAAAAAGCAAATACAATACAATAATGATTACAACATGAATATTGAAGAAATTATTGAAGAGAAAGTTGATTCTACAAAGAACAAAGATGATAATGATTTTAATGTCAACAATTTATCTGGTGACGTGATTAATGACAATGATAACGCATTTATGACCA